TATTTTTGCTTATCTTTGTCCTCTGTCATTTTTGTTTCCCCCTCATCTTTTGCCACAACATCCCTGCCAAAGAACTCTGGCACGGCTGCTAATTTCTGATTCAGCCTGGAACAACAGAATATCAAAGATGTTGTTGTCACCAGGATGTCTGCGCTACAGGGAAACAATCTCACTGGGGGGGAGATCATGGCTGAATTTTTAAAAGACTGATGGCAATTTCTGAAGGAGGAGTAATTGTCATTTTTTAGATGTTTTTTTAAGGTGTGTTAGAATTTTGAAGAGCAGCAGTGGGGGATAATCCTGCTCCTGCTACTGATAGGAAATAAATCTTAGTGACACACTGCATGCTGACCAGTTATGTTGCCAAGCAATGAGATGTTAATCAGACTTAATAACATATGCACTAATAGAAAAACACCACACACATGGAAGCCTTTGCCGACTGGAGCCGCTCTGCTGTGAGATTACATCTCTCTCTGATCTGGAAAAAAAAAAGTGGCGTCCCCTCCCACGGGCCAGACGGTAAACACAACTCACGAATGCTACCACTGTCACACAACAACAAACAGATGACACGTCTGAGAGACCAAACAAGCATCTACAAATTATTCATGCTGTCTATTTTAGATCAGTGATTTTTTCCCTCATTATGAGTCATTGTTGAAGTGATTATAAAGCTGGGATGGACAGAAGAGACGGGCGAGGGCAGACACAATGAAAGATTTGAGGGCTGGACAGAGTAAGCAGACGGATGATTATAAGAGAAAAAAAATGGCATGAGTTCAGTGAAAGTGTGGAGGTTGATGACGAATGCAATCTGCATTTAGATGATATCATTGTCTGTTGTTTTGCCTGATGTAAATGTACTATCTCTGGTGACATGCAGTGTTTTTAGGTCATCTTGGCAGAGCTGAATGCTTACATGAACTTACCTGCACAGGCTGGAGGTTCATGTAGAGCACAATTTAATGATTAATTGAGCTTCTGAATTAACCTACACAAATCTAATAAACATCATTATCAATATTAATGGGTCACTACGAGTAACTGTGTCCATACATGTACGGGATGGGCGCAATTACAAACCTTAATTTACCAAATCAATGCAACAGCTCCAACGCTTGTGCGTACTGCAAACAAGCATTGACTACAGATGTTATTCTGCAGAGAGTCCCTATTAAGAAATGATGAAGGTTGCCTGCTATTTAATCAAACAATTCACCTACAATCAATGAAGCAAGGATATGGCTGTACATACTCAGGCAAATCATTTAAAATAATGAAAATATGGTCTTCTGGTTGATAATAGTTTTATTCCAATCAAACCATCATTGATGTGTAATGCTGAATACCCATGTTATTCCTTTCTGTTATGAAGATGTGACCTCCATGACAACAGTTATGTAGCTAGTTAAGTGCTGCCTATACAAAGCTTGTGTTTGTGTTAGCAGTCTTTACAGAAATGCCTCTGAAGTACCTGCGTTGTGTGCAGTGCTGCGGGATTCGGGTTGTATTTTTCCTTTCTGTGCTAACAAAAAAATAGAAAAAACTCCATCCCTTCTGAATAACTCCTAACCCGATGTTGAGTGACAGTTCTCCGTACTGAATCAACTCCAGCTCTGGGATGAGGACTATCTTTGAGGACTATCTTTGGTTCTTTTGTGAAAAAGGGCAGAATGGCTTTATCAGGATCCACACAACTGCAGTCTGATGAGACACTTGATATTTATAAATTTTGGCATTTGTATTACATTATTGATGATATAAAAAACTGCAGCAGCTACATTACCATCTTGCAGTATCCTTTTTGGGGATCTATGTATCTGTATCAGGTAACATTTACACACAAGGATAGAGAGAGCACTCTGCAGGGAAATTGAACAGACCTCGATTAAGGTTTTAATAGTGTCTTAACTGTAGTTTTCATGAATATGTTAATAAACCATGGCTCATCTTATCCTCTGAGTCTTGCGAGCAGAAAAATAAAAATAAAAACATAAAAAATGCAAAACTAATTCATCTGCTCTTATTCATGGAACAATGCAATCTGTTTTGTTTCATTAGTTGTTGTGTTACCTAATTAGCTCTCCGTAACAGCATTGTTTAAAGACTTTCAAAGTTTAATGTCTTGAAAAGAGAAGAACTCTTTATTTCCCTTGCTCTATTAATTTCCTCCCTAATTTACATGTTTGTTACGAATTCTTGTTTGCTAAAATGCATCCTATTAGTTTAAAAATAAGTTATGAGGGAAGACGCAAGTTGTTTTTTCACGCAGCCTTTGGGTTCATTTTGCAACCCTTAATTTCTAAGTAAACAACTCATTGGTGAATTAATTTTGCTTGGTGGACTCTGACCAGGGGCCAGTATATAAAAAGCAAATGGGGAGGAAAAAAGGGGACAAGGTGTCTTCATACAAATATGTTTGAAAAGGCAGAGAAAGACAGTGTAAATATGTCCCTGTGTCTGAAATAATGCTGCAGAAGTGCCCTCTTGGATGCTTCCATAAAACATATAACAAATTATTGAATTGCAGTGGATTAAACTTAAAAACTTTCCTATGAATGTCCTTTCAGTGTAAATATGTTAAAAAGTGCCCTCTGGATGCATTCCAGTGTTTTAAATGTTAAAAAAATATCCTCTGGGTCACCTTGAAACATATTGAGTATGGAAAAAGCCCTCTGAATTCTTCCAAAAAATATGACATGTGAATAAAAAATCTCTGGGTGCTCTTAATCAGTAAATACCTAAATGTTAAAAAGTTCCCTATTGATGCCCTCCAAGTGTGGAAAAAGTTATCACAATATCACCATTTTATGTAATTAAGCAGACATTTTTGTCCAAAATGACTTTTATTTGGGAGTAACAAACCAAGCAAAATTCTAGACAGAAGGAAACAACATGAGTCAGAGCCACAAACTGTTCCAAGACTGACTGAATGCAGTGCTGTTACGCAAAGCCAAAAGGTGGTGCCCATTTTTTTCTTTTATTCTTTTATAAAGATTTAATGTATTATCACCACAAAAACTACAATGAATGGTCAGTAACAATTCACAGCAGCATTATCATCATCATCATCATCATCATCATCAATATCCGCATCACTTTGACCTTCAGCACCAACAGGTTCCCTCAGAAGTAAAAGGAGACTGTGTAGATCAGAAGTGGTTGTATTTCTCATTCTACCAGTGCAGACTACAAAGGGAGAGAGAGGTGAGGAGTCTGGCTGGTGACTCGGGCCCTGTTGTGATCAGAGCACCAGGTGCCTTTCATTGGCTGAGTGTAGCAAGCAGGAGGGGATGTAGACCTGGATGTGGGACTCCAGGTGATCCGTCATCAGCCTAGAAATATCACTGAGGCATGATGAGATCCAGACCGAGACATTTGTGTAATCTGGTGGGAATATCAGGAAGAACTGAGTATCATCTGCATAACAGTGAAATGAGAAACCATGAGATCTGATAATTGCACTGAGTGATATAGTGTATATTAAAAAGAAACCTCTGATTGCCCTTCAGTATAAAAACTGTACAAAAATGTCATCTGGATGTCCTTTCTGTATAAAGGAATAAAAAGAAAAAAACTCTGAATGAGCTTTTAGTATATTTGTAAAATGTTTTTTTTTTTTTTTTTTTTTTAAGTGCCCCGACAGTAAATTAAGATTTCATTCAATTACTTTGATCATAACCATGAGGTGCTGTTTGTTTGGTAAACATGGATGTTTTCTGAGTTGAGTTTAGCTAAATACTTTAAAAGCCTCTTCAAATTTAAGTGTTTAATTAGTTAAATAAGCATATGCTACTTTTAAATTTAGATTTGACTTCTCAATCTTAAAATTTCCCTGTGAAAAATAAGATATCTGAAGTGTAAATCTTACTCCAAAATAAAAGTGCAATGTAAAGCATTTTTCAGAAAAAAAGATTTATTATTATTTCTGATTTTCTTTCACAAGATTTATTCTTACAAAATTCTGCCTAAATATTCACTAAAGGACAGGTATTCAGTGTCAGATGCTCAAAATTTCCTCTTCCTCCAGGGTCTTCCTCCAGGAAATATTGATTTCATAACAGTCTATGCTCAGATGCCCAGTGGCACACAGCAGGGTCCCTTTTTTTTTCCCTTTTAGCCTGTGTCTGTCAAACAGCCTGAGTTGCACTCCTGCAAACCTCTGGTGGGTGGCCCAGGGGCAAAGCAGTGGTGATCAGGCCAACTACTATTAGGTTTTATCAGAACCCTCTCTTCCTGGTGAAAAATAAATAATCATTCAGAGGATTTCTTACCATGATGAGGTGAAACAGTTATCAAATTTTCATTTTATTACTTTTAGTAATCTTTTTAATAGACTTTTTTTGTTTGTTTTTGTTTGTGCATGAGTGTTTTATTATGTCTTTCAGGGTCATCAAACGCCTACATTTCTTGAGCACTTTTTAACAAGACAGCTTACAAAGTGCTTCCCCATCAACAGCAGTCAACAACTCAACCTGTAATCCAGTTACTGTGTGATCCTTGTAGTATAACTTTTATAGGACTCTAAAGAGTCTAACTATGCTTTAAAACATGATAGCCTCTTTTAGACAGAGGCAGTGTGCCAGAGCTGGTGGCTGCTATTTTTTAAGCAGATATATTGTGTCCAGATGAGATTTTCACATCTAAGGAATGAGTTATGGGTGAAGAAAATGATATTGGACAGTTTTTTTTTTCTATTTAGTTTTTTGATGTGCGGAAGAGACACCTTTTTTCCCTATTACCATCAAAGAAAAAAACTTTTTTCATTATCTATTACAAAGTGTTAGGTTCAACTTACTTACAGGATATTTGATATCTTTCGTCTTAATTCCCTTCTTTGTATGCACTCTGCAGTTAGTTATACTTTCTTTGCAGTGCTTTAGTCTTTTCTTAGTGTCTCCACCGGTCATATCTATTTTATACGACTATTCAGTCCCTCCTCATCCCATTTTTCCATCACTTTCTCACACTATCATTCCCCTCTCTCTCTCTCTTAGTTGTCAATCAGTGAGAGGAGCGGACCAGACACACAGCCGTCCTCAAAGGGTCACACAGAGCGGCCATTGCAAGCCGGGCCTGTTGACAGCTTGGTGCTCATTATCCAGAGTGGGTACCTGAGACAAATTAGATCCCTGCAGCGAAGGGAGTTGGTTGAAGGCTCCAGGTGTGACTGCGTCAACAGTGAGGCTGGTCATCAAATCCACAGTGACAAGACAGGACTCAGGGAAACCAATACAGGTGCATTTCAACAAATGAGAATATTATCAAAAAGTTAATTTATTCCAGAAATTATATTTTTTTAAAATACACAAAAAACGCATACATTACTTACACTATCACATGGATTCATATATTTCAAGTCAGTATTTCTTTTCATATTGATGATTGAAACTTACAACCAATGAAAACCCCTGTGTCTGTATGATTACTTCAGGGAGAGCCTAACTGGGGTTAGTGAACTCCTTTGCACCTCTGAATTTACCACAGCCACATGCACACTACTGCTATCTTCCTGTTTATTTAACTTGTGGTCTTTTTCCATGGTCCATGAGTTGGGTCAAAATTGGGGTAATTTTTCCCATTTTAGTTGGGGTGTGTGGTTGTGGGATTCTTTGCATTTAATTTTTTGCTGCTCTTGGTATTTTCTTGCATATTTTAGTAGAGATGCACCCCTCACACACAAATCAGAGTGGTCACATAAAAGCTTTCAAACACATGATCAGTATGTGGTTAACACGTCATGGTCAAGATAGTGAGCTGAAGCATAACCAATGTTTATCAACTGTGGAAATCATAAAATGAGTTCAGTTTCAAGAAGTAGGAAGGATCTTACAAAGGATGACATGCTAAATGTAACTTATTACCTGGCTTTCTGACTCATCATCTGAATGTGTAAAATACTTGATTCTGATTGGTCAAACCCCCTCAAAATGTTTATTGTTTGTGAATAGCAAGAACAATGTCAGAGACATCCAGGTCACACAGTTCATATTTAGTCTATTCAAGGAAAAAAAGTCGAGCACATTTATGTTACTGATTTGATCTCTCCTGTTGATAATGTGACAAAAGTGTCACTTTCTCATAGCAGTAAACATAGTTGAATAATAATACTCTTATTTTATTTTGGTAGCTTGAAACTTTGGACTTGAGGTTAATCTATGACCGGTCATGAGCTGAGAAAAGATGACAAGAGGGGGAAAATAGTGCGCTTGCAAGAGATGTAAAAACACACAAGTAGCCAACTGAGAAAAGTTACAAAGAATCACCTTGTAAAGACGCTACTGTTGTTTTCTACATATGCTAAGAAAGCCAATGATAAAATGCTAACTGGGAGACTTAAATACAAGTAAACATGGTCCAAGGTTTTAATGTTTATTGACCCTCAAGTAAGGACTACCAGCTGTCATATCTGAACACATAAATCATTTTCTAAGTGTCATCTTGTTGCCATTTCAGTTGCATGCTGTGTAATTATGGATTTAATCTATAGTGAACAGGCTGATGCGTGAAATAGAATCCTGGCAGAGATACTTCACAAGACTCTTGAAACAAGATAGTTGAAGATTTTAGGATCAAAGGATGCCTCTGTTTGAAGCCACAGCAGGAGAAACTTCCCGTGGTGGCCAGACGTGGTGTTGGTAGTCACTGATGACTTTCCAAAAACAGAGTGACTGATGAATTGGTAGCTGATGGTTTTGTGAAGGCAGGGCAGTAATGTGGAGGTGAAGGGTGCATGTTGAATTTTTGATCTGAAAGATTACATTGAATATTATTATTTTTCAGTGATAGTTAACATTGACATTGCATTCAAGTCCTACAGTATTTTATTGATTGGGTTTATGTGTTAAATCAGCTGTACTATGCAATAAAGCATACACGCATACTCGACCTGTGTCTTTCTGAAAAAAGTATTCTTTTTTTACTAAAGGCTGGGAATTCAACTGCAGCTCATAAATTAAGAAACTGCTCCACATCTGATGTCTTGTTTCTTCAGTGTTTCAGAGTGATATGAATTGGGATGCTGCGAGTGATCCACTGGTGTTGCCCATCAAAATTTTAAGGATGCCCTACTGTGAATGTCTGCCTCTACTTTTGATTTACTGTCCCTTCCATCTCACAACAGAGCTTGTTTTGACAGCACTTAACATCCTTGTAGCTGCCCTGAAGTACCTGAAGAAAACATTTCTCTTCCCAGAAGAAGGACATAGCGCTATCCAATACGGACAGGAGTGACTGTGGGAGAGGGAATAGGACAGAGAGCAATGGGTGCACCATTAAGAAATAGCCACTAAACTACATGTGACAATAGCCAAGATTGCACTTGAACCCAATTCATCGAGGTAAAGTGGCCATTTGAAGAAGTGGGGTGGGGAATTGGTGTTCTGGATTGAGACGGAGGAATGCAGAGAGTGTGGGTTGTTTGCTTTATCCATACGTCATTGCTTGTCTGCTCCTGCAAAGAACAAGAGTGGGGCATATTAACTCACAAAGCAATATATACTGAGTATCAATAGAATTAGCAGAGGCCTGCAGACTTTTTTGCTCAGATGGGTGACAAATTAAATAACAGGAAACACATTATCAAATCACTTCCTTCAACACTGATGCATAGCACAATACAATTCAGTAAACGACATCCCCTCATACACATGCTCGGTGATGTTTATGCAAATTTTGATGAGTGGAAATTGTTCTCAATCTGTGATATGAGGTTAAGAGTGTAGACGAATTATTCCTTTTGTGGGTGTATGCAGTGAGCAGTTACTTCAGGGATAACTGCATTAGGATTGAGCTGTAACTTTTAGTGTTGAAAAGTCAAGACATTGTAAAAATGTCTTTTTTTCAGGTAAGATAAGGTAATAAAAAGGCCGTGACTTAAACACGTAATCAAGGCTGCTGACTAAGAGGTGTAGCTGTGTGCCTGGGGACAAGCCTACCTTAACTCCAGTTTGATCTAATCAGCAGTATGTGATTAGGATCAGAAGTATGAGAGCAGTGGAGAGGGTCCTTATTCAGATGGACCGTCTACATTTAATGACTCTGATGCTCTTGTGTATAAAGTATGCAAGCTAAAAGAATAACTCTTCCTGGGTGAACTGAATGGAAACTGTGGACTAAAATCTCTGATGAGGCATGACAGCTGGAAATGTAAAGAAATCATTCTACATCCATCTACATTAGACACAGTTAATTACAGTTTAAGGTAACACATGGACTACACCTCAGTGGAAGCAGACTTGCAAAGATGTTCCTGGGATTAGGGAGGACCTGGTCCTGCTGCCATCAGGATGGAGCCATCCCTTTTTTGAGGCCGCCAAAGGCTTTTCTCAGGCAGCTTTCCTTTTCTGTTTGTAGTGAGAAGATATATCCAGAACTAGTAATTACATTATTTGGAGTAGCCCCTGGAGTGCCTTGAGCCCTATTTGCACAGGATTAGTACTACCTGGGGACTTCTGACAATTTCTAGGAATGAGGAAGACGTCTGTGTTTTCAGTCCTGTGTAAATTGACCATCTTTGTCATTTGGGAGGTAAGAATTTTAGGAGAAATCACCGACCATATGACTTTCTCTCTCGGTGCAGCAGGGTGGCAAGGACATGCTGTCTCATAGCATATGATCATGTTTTTTTAGTTCAGCTAAATAATAGATAAAAAATGAAAAAAATCACTTCTTTTTTTTTTGTTTTTTTGTGTTGCATCATAGAGTTACTGGTCAATTTGGCAGGCTCAAAATCACCCTGCCATAAAGTTGATGGAGACCCATTTGCAGAAGATCAAACTGAAATCCATCCAACGATCTAGATGTTGAAGACTGATTAGATGGATGACATGCTTTGCAGCACGGGGTGAGGGATATGCTCTGTCCTCCTGTGGATTAATGGCCTTGGTAGTGCAAACATTATGTGAATTTTAAAGCAATGCTGCTTGCAAAATGTGAGACGTATGTAGCTATTTTGTACAGCATTAAAGAGAGCAGCATTTTATTTATTGTTGCCTGGCAACCAAATCATCCGCACAGACAGAAATCAATATCTCTTTCTATTGAAAATAGAGGAGAAAAAAGTCTGGAGTTTGGCTCAATACAAAACATTTTATTGTGTTGTATCTTATCAACTTTATCTGACATTAAGTTATAAATTTTTTGCAGTATGACCTGAAGTATTTCATCCCCGTGCATTGTATAAGTTTACCAGCTGTGGATGTCTACTTTATTTCATCAAGCTGCATTCCAGTGGGCTGCACAAAGTTATGCTGCCCACACCAAATTCAAATGTCAGTGGACAACTCATGATTTAGCAGAAGTCCCCATATAGTTATTCTAATTCTTTGTTAATAGCGCTCGTCTTATACCACAATTTACCATTAGCAGATAGAAAGTGTGATGGCCCATCTCCACCACAGGGTTCAGTGCAAGTAATTTTCAGATTTTGAAAGCCCTTCCTCTTGTGCTATGAAGAAAATTCAAATTTACACAAGCATTTTGTCCCCGAACTTCTGCCCCCATGCCCTCAAATTATTTTTTCTTCTATGTTTCTTGAATGCACTGCTGAACTTGTTAAATATATGTTGATTTAGGTCTATTTATGCTTGAGCTTAATGTACTTCATCCAACTGTGCTGTTGATAGTTGTGATAGGTTATGTAATTCAAGTAAATCAAAGTTGGATGAATGAAACCAACTCCTCTCAGTTGTGATTTTTTTACTGGACACATAAAAACGTAACCTTTCTCCTGTGTTAGCTTTTACTACGCACCCATCATGTTAAGGGTCGGTTTTGACCCGTGTCTTAAATCAGCTGTAAATTACACTCAAAACATTTCTCTATCATCCAATTTGGTTCACATCTCTAGGTTACCTCGTTAGGCTTCATTATCCATGAAAATATTGCTTATTATATTTTTTATAATGGTCTTCTGGGCCTTTCTTTGTCAGTATACTCCTCACACAGGCATCTTTACCGAATTGATCTCACATGTCTGAGGCTGTTTTTTGTGCAGGGAAAGAAAAATGGTAGAATGAAAATTTCCTAAATCTCACATGATTGGAAGAGGATCTGACTGTCAGTGCACCTTTTGCTCTGATTATTAGATATTAATTTAACTGGGTCAACAGCTGCCCGGACATGACAAGTGCCATCATTTTAATAAGAGCATTTTATAATTTAGTCCATTTCATTTTTTA